GATGGGTCTGCTGGGCCCCCTCAGCCTTTGAGAACAGCACAGTGTGGTGGGAAGGGAAGCACTTCTTGGGAGAAGCTGGGCAAGTTGCTCGCTCTTGCAGCTCTCCAACTCTCCCCCATGCCCCCTCCAGGTGCAGGCCTTCGTGAAGAACATGCATCAGAGACTGACAGCCAAGGTGTTCCCAGAGAATAGACTGTTCATGGACTTTCTGAGGCTGACTGATACATACCCCACTGATGTTGCCTTGACCCTCCTGCGCTGTTCCCCATCATGTGACAGGTATGGGGCCCACCTGCCTTCAGGGCTTGGGGCTTACCAGCCTTTAGAGACTGTCCCACGTGCTCTGCCAGACAGATGGAGAGATCCAGGACACTCTGGCCCTTGTGTTTCCCAGCCCTGGTGTTTCATCCCCCGATCCTGCTGTCATGCTCCCTCCTGGCCCCTCAAGGCACCGTGGCTCTGTCTCCTGGGCTCCTGCAGCTTCCCAGGACACGGCACAGTGGCTCACACTCCCCTGATACAGAGCTCTGTCCCTGCAGAGCTGCTGCAGTCATGTGGAGGACCATAGCCTTGTCTGGAACAACAGTGGTGAGAGTGCTGCCAACACTGCTCTACGTGATGGAGGACTGGCCACTGCACGGCACATACACCTCTGAGGGGGAAAAGGACATCTTTGCCCTGGCTGTGAGTTTCTGAGGTTTTTGATCAACTCCAGTTTGCCTCTCTGATAGTTCTCTATCCTCCCCCACCAAGCTATCTCTCTGCCTCAGGCACTAGGCTGGAAACCTGGACTAGGGGCAGGTTCAGGGGCACCAGGTCAGGGGTTCCCCCTGAGTCTCCCCTGGCCTTTCCCTCCCATGCTCGGGTCCTGCCACATGGATATGTGGGCACTGAGAGCTGGTCCGGGTGTTTATCGTTTGTAGGCAACCATAGTGGTTTGGGAAATTCTCCAGATGATCCGCTACCCAGAGCTATTGATGGAATATTCGCCCCGTCTCCTCGTGGATCTGCTCTTCCAAGTTCTCATCAGCACAGAGCAGATGCCAGAGGAGGTTGCCACCTTCTGGGGGAGATGCTGGGAGGAACACCGCTTTGCCAGGAATCCCAGCAGGTGCTCCATCCCAGCCCTCCTGTGCCTTCCATGCCCTTGGGGCAGGGTCAGGGCTCCCAGCATGACCTGGGCTTCTCTCTCCACACAGATTCGCAGTGCTGACCGTGAAGACCCTGCTTTGCCATCTGCAGTTTGAAAATATTGTGATGGCAATGGAACGGAAGCGTGGCTGGGACACGCTCCTCAGGCCTGACACCCGCCACTACACAGTGGGTCTGCTGGCCAGGTGAGACCCCCTTGTCCCTGCTGCCCCTGTCACTTCTGCCTGGGCACGGGGCACCCCCACAGTGCCCGTGGTCGTGGGCCAGAGGGCCTTGTCAGCCAGGGATGGCTGAGAAGAGTGGAAAAGGATGGGAGAGGCGGGGGCACAGGAGGAGCTGCCTGCCAAGGTGCATGTGTCCCCTCCTGTGCTGGTGGGGAAAGACCAGGCCTCTGTGTGAGTGAACCCCAGCAGAGGTTTGCCCACCCAGCTCAGGGTTGACGGTGCCCGTTTTCCCCTGCCAGGGAGATGCGCCGTGCCTCGAGCCCCTTGTGTTCCCCAGTTGCCCTCTGCCTGCTGGGGTTGCTGAGCAGGGAGAAGCCCCGCTGGGAGGTTCCCGCCATGGCCTTCCTTGTGGAGGTGAGCCTGCTGGCGAGCGCTGCCTGGCCGAGCTGCCTCCACCTCTCAGCCCTCTGGCAGCCGCAGCTGCTGCCTGGGCACAGCCCTGTGCGAGTCCAGGCTCCTGCCGGCTGGGCACCTCGTCACTGCTGCGTGCCTTGCAGGTCCTCGACTGCCTGGACATGACTGAATGTGGGGATGGAATCCTGCAGATCCTTTCAAGAGACCTGGCGAACGAATGCAAAGAGAGACGTCGCCTGGCGATCAAAGGCTTTGTAATGCTGAGCAAGGATCCCATGATGGTGAGGAGAGGGCAGTTGGCTGAAGCCGTGCTGGAATCCTGGGGCAGGGCAACGCAGTCACTTTGGGAGCTGTGGCAGCTGCTCCCAGCTCTGCTGCCTCCCTGCTCAGCTGCCCGAGGCCTTTAGGACAAGCATTTGGCCTTCAGGCCCGCGGCAGCACCTGGGGCTGCCCTGCCCGAGCAGGGTTGGCTCTGCAGCCGTTCCTGGCTTCACAGCACAGCCTTGTGTTCCTCACAGGCCAAGAGAATGTGCAGCCTCTCGGAAAGTCTTGTGCAGCTCCTGTGGGATGCAGATGTCGAGCTGGTTGAGCTGGCCTTGCCAATATTCCTGAATATGCTGCAGAACAAAGACATCCTAACCTCCAGCCCCACCGCCCTGAAGCTGGCTGAGGCTCTGTGGCCACTCTTTGACAGTGTAAGGTTTTGTGCTCCCATTTAGGGGTGCTGGGTGCTGCCAGGAAACTGCTCCTTGTGGATTTGCAAGCCAATGCCAGATAGGCCTGGAGAAGCCAGTGCTGAGGCCTCTTCCTCTTCCTTTCCATCAGGACAACAGCCATGTGCAGATCCTCTCCATTCACCTGTTCCAAGAGGTGATGAAGTCGGTAGTGGATGAGGGAAAGAAGCCTTTGAAGATACATGTGGTCCAGAACCTGTTCCCATTCTTCCTCTACTGGCATGATGAGAACCAGC